TGGTAATACATTTATTATATGACGGTTTACGACTGCAGGTAAATCCTAATTATAATTGGGATCTTCTTTTAAAATATAATTTTTAATACAAACTTCTTTGTTACGCTACTGCGTTTTGATAATAAATTCATAAGATTTGAACACTCAATGGTTAACTGAACTCTATTGAATCTATTTTTGAAATTTTAATTAATTATTGAATATGTCATACTTAATTGATTTAAAAAATCATTGGATTTTAAATGATCGACACATTAGTTGCCATCTGTACTAATTATGCATTTTCGTACTGTCGAGTATGGGGCAACCTCAACATTATGCGATAACTTCTGATCTCTGAACAATTTATCCAGAAATACAAAACTCGCTCAATCAATTGTTTATTCATACCATCTTTGACCTCTTAAAATGAGTAGCGAGTTTCTGTTAGCGAATTGTACTTGTCACATAAGAATAAGATTAAAAAAAAAAAAATGAAAACTGAATATATTTCATATAGTATTCGTACATTTAAACTTCTATGTGCATTCAATGCGTCCGAATAAATCTGAATGCACTTAAAATTCAAATCAAAATGTATTTTGTATCCAATGAATACTACGCAGGAATTAATATTATATTTAAAAATACATATAAATAAAAATTGCTGACTCGATATTACTATGTTGCAGAAAATTATAATTTTGTTTGTATATTCTATTATGAGTAGAAGTAATTTCAATGAAGTATTGCCAGACGATCTCTGTGTTCTTTTTTTATAATTTTTACACGGAGTCCTAAACTATACATACCCTCAGTCGTGGGTAACGTACTATTTTGTAAGCGTTGCTTACAGAAATAACTCTTCTGCGTACGAGGCCAAAACGTGATTCGAAATGATGTTCATGATAAGTACAATATGATTTTTTCGCTAAGTTTTATTTAACATATTTTTCAATCGTATGAGTACACACGGCGTTATCTCGCCGGTCGTGGGCTAGAGTTTTTGTAATTGTGTTCTACAATATTATCATTCAATAATGGTATTTATTTTCTCGGATTGTCACCAATAATGAAATAGGTATGGCGTGTACCTACGTGCTTTTTGTTTCTCTTCGTGTCGTAGGCGTTTGTCACTTGTTTATAAAACACCAAAACTTTCACTATTGTATCCACGATCGCTAACAAATTGCCTTATAACCTTTTCACAATCTCACAAATGGACTCATTAAACGTAACGTTTCAAAACGGTTAGGAATTTCATTGGTAATTTTTTCAAAACCGGTCAAACCAATAATTATTGCTAATTATCGACAAGCAAACTGGACGCAATGATATTTTCTCAATCGATGTTTTACCGGATTCAACGCATGCGATTGGCGACCACGAAAATACAATTAAAAAATTTCAGGACACTATACATTAGTGTAAATCAGTATATCCGGGAATTCAGTAATAAAAAATAATGAAAAAATGTGCACTATTCATTATAGCACACGTAACGGATGAGATACGCAAACTTTATTTTATTTTTTCTAAAATTTTTTATTTGTCCTTGTAATAAATAGCTATGTTATACAAACGGACTGCGGTATGATAACGATAAATTAAATCCTGCAATTATTCGAATATTTTATGAGTGCAGTACTTTACGAGCCTGACTCTTGTAATTATTACGTCTCTAAACTTTCAAAATGTTTCCCGTTTAGTTTTTGAATTTTGACTTGTTTTCTTGGCCATTGACCAATAAATTCGCCTCTGCAGTTTCTAGACGTATAGCTGTATCGAATTTCAAAAAAGATTTCTTTGAAAGATTGTAAGTTTAAGGTGTTGGTTTATGTGCTCTGTCCGTACACAGTTAAAAAATGATAACAGCCATGAATACAATTATACAACTCAATGTGTAAACAATCATGTATAATATATTGTGTATTAAATTTTCTGGTCGAGTTTGATTTCTTAGTGTTTAAACTTTACTTTAATTACTCAAAGCTTGTATCCTATGCACGTTTGTATCGGTTGCTAATTTTTTTCAAGGCTGTGTGAACCCAATCGACGCTCAAGGAAACTTATTTAACGTTATGAAAATTTTCATAGCATAACCTACGACAACAATCCGGTAGGTAATGAGAACCTAAAATTAAAGTATTGCAAAACAAGCACGACACTACTGGCCTTGGCACAGAGGCAGCTTTGATTTGATCAGAATGCATTAAAAATGAAATGAAATAGCTACGATTTAACATCAATGTAACGAGTTTAGAATAATATTACAATTTTTTTACAACGCGCATCGACCAGAGACAGCGTACAAACATTATGGCCGGCTCGTTGTTGTGCCTTGCACGACAAATTAATCTAATTACAATTATTAAGAATATTTTAGTATCTAATAATATCAAAAATATCAACAAATCGTCCATGCACAGTAGACAATCACGATTTATAATTAATGTACGGAAAGTTTGTTTTCTACGGTTAATACATTTACTAAATAATGTTTTTCCGACAATATTGAATGATTAGGTAATAATCATCGTTCGTTTAAATAGATACATGATTTGCGCTTCTCAAGGAGCCAATTAATTGTACATCATATCCCCAGCATCTATTACCGAAACCAGTCGACAATGATCAACCATTATTTCTTCTAAACATGGATACGCTTGTCGGGAGCTTACGATGTGGTGACCTTAATTTCTAAGCCGTTATGCGTGTACACGATGAAAATACTTTGAAGTGTCATTTGGCATCAAATTGTACTGTTGAAGGTCGTGGTCCGATAGTACTTTTCAGAGCCACGCGATTGTAGGTTGTCCATAACTATTTTCGCTTTTTAATCATATTTTTATTTAAATACCGCCTTTGTATAGAATTTAGGAATTGAATTTGTAATTATTCAAATCGCGTGCAGAGGAAATAATAAAAAATTGCCATCTTTGTCATGTCTAATAAAAATTGAACCGCAAACCATCTGTCGACGCTTGTTTAATATTCTTAATCGTCCAATAGGACCGCAATTGATACGCCACGTTAAATATTGTTATTTTGCATGTAAACCCGTGTGTCTAATTATATTTTATTTTTGTTCATGTATGCAAAACAACACGTGTCATGTTGTGTATACTTACTGCGTCATGTTGATCAGCTGCAGTCTAAAAGTTACTCAACATTTGCGTGCATAAATAAATATAGAAATATTTACCAAGAAAATTACTATAATTACAAAAATGATCCATGGTCATGTATTGGTTTATTATTTTAACACCATTTCAGGCAACTTGTTTACATATTATTTAATTAAAAATATTTTGTACGAGATACAAATATTGTAGTAGACCTTAAATAATGTAATATAAGGCAACTTCACTTAGAAACTGTTCATATGACAAGATTTACAGAAATTCAAACGAAATATTTTTCCAAAATGATAAAATAATCAGTGCATTTATTAGGTTTGTTATGGTGTTGAAGTAAAAGTCGAAATAGGAAAAAACAAAAATCGTGTTCATGTATTTCGAGCATACAGTAACAATTAGTTGTCGCCGTTAGTTGCACGCTGTACGCGGAAACGTTTTCTCAACCGCATTGTCATCAGATGAAAACGCAGATAAAAAATTCGGGTACTCCAATAACTGCATTGTATAACGTAATAATAAATGTGTAATTATTGTCTCTAGTAAATCGGTAACCCGCGTTGTTATTGACAGCGTTACATTTCAACAATATTGAATGAGTCGAGTACACGGGACTCGGACGAAACAGTTGCTGGTGAAATGAAACGCGTTTTTTTCACTGCCGCGATTAATATTTTTTCTGTTGACTGTGGTCAGTTTATTTTGGACCTAGAGAAACGAGTGCAATAACTCGGTACGCGTTACGTGGCCACGCCAAAATCATAATTTAAACGACCCAAATAACTCATTAAGGCGTTTCGTCCGGTTCTGCATTTCTTTTTTACCAGCACACAAACCGCTCACATCATCCACGTACACGTGTTGTGTACATACATAATATTTCAGTACCTTCCGAGTGTCTGTGAATGCCGTGTGAACGTACAGACTTGTAGGCGTATGGGGCACACATACATTTATATGCGGTTGTTTTCATACGAGACCGATTTTCAGTTTCACGACGTTGCGGTCAAAATCTATACGCAGTCAATGTATACGGGCCGTAAAAAAGTTGTACTATGCATATTTCTTCTAAGATTTATGTATCCAATAGAATGCATAGGTGCTGCTTGAGTGAAAATAAAGCACAGAATATTCCGAGATGAAAAATATTCAAAGTATTTTTTTATTTACATTTTATATATTTCGGTGGGCTTAACGATATACTATTGGATGTACAACCAACAAAATATTCAATAGAGTATTAAAAAAATATATATATTCGTGTAGATTAGATATACACAATAGGGGACCTAACTCTAACAAATAATTATGTAACGGAACAAGCAATAAGACATTTTTACATTGAATTTCAATTATTATCATTTGAACGCGAATGTCGATATTTTAGTTCTCCCCGTGAAAAATTAACATATAAAAGTACAATATTTTCATGCAATTTTAGAATAATGTTTTAGTGTTTATTTTTTTTGTGAATATTAACTGTTGTAACAAATGATAGTGAGCTGTGAGATTAAGCCAATAGTAATCGTATTAAATCAATTAATATATATTATTGGCATTGGAAAGGATTAATCTTTTGACAAGTATTTTTTTATATTTTCCGTATTCTTGAAATATCTTTAATTGATTGAGTTTAATACATTGAACATGACATCACTGTAAATATAATAGTGATCATGACATCCTGTAAACATCTAATTATACAGAAATCGCACCATTTATTCTAACACAAAGTGAGATCGTGTGACACACCGACACAACATTGATCATTAAAATTTATAATCAAAGCCAAAGTACTGAGAAGGAATACTTGTTATTACAGTACTTTAAGATTTTTAAACGTATCCCGAAACTACACGAAAGAGCAATAAATAATTCGATAAATATACAAATAAATTATTCTATTTCATGTATATAAATAATGAAACTTTCATTAATACTTAGGTAATATTTATGATATATATTCTTCTAAATTTTTTTCACGACAGTCTTGCAATTTGAGCATACCATCTTTTTTGCCTTTTTATTTCTGTGTTTGGACGATATTAACAGACAAAAAGGAAAACACGTAAAACAGGCGCCAGCTGTTTTAATTGGATTGTTACTAAAAGGCTTTTCTAAAACTACCACGTTTTTACAACCGTTGGGACACTCCGAACTGCCAAAACTGTTGACACTCGTGACTTCATCGTCAACTATACTCCAAACTGAATCACTTTCTGAACTTGCAATTTTTATCTTGGGCTTCGTCATGTAAGTTTCTGATATCTGAAATGAATTATAAAAACATTATTTATGTACTTCACTAAAATTTTTAATTATTTCATAATCATAATTTTTTAAATAATCAAAAAGTTTTTGATTTATTATTTTAAAGTTCAAGAATTTAAATGGTCATAATGAATTAAAAATAACAGTAATATCAAATTAATTTCGTTAATTTTTCGAAAATTTAGAGGTATTATAACTTATATTTTGTGTACATATTTATTTAAAAAAGTACTATTTTTATTTTAAATGGATGAAATAATTATTATGCAATATGTGTGTTGTGTTGACTTTTCTTTGGTGTGCAAAGAAGAATTGTCTCTAAAACGCTCAGTAAAGCCATACAACATAATGATTCACTGGAATCATTAGTTTACTATTGAACTGTACAATGTATAATGTACATTTTATGAGTATAAAGTAACAATGTTAGCTATTAAGTCACTTTGCTGGAATGCATTTTTGTTTATGCGAGCATTTTGATTGTAACGCCTGTTTTTTTATGAGATGGATGTATTAAACGATGTACGATTAATGACTTCAACTCAATAGATGTTCATTAAATATAAATAATATTGTTTTACTTTTATATTTTTATGTTTTGATCGCATATGTCCTATAAACGTGCCGTAATCATTGAGACTACTACTAGTGACGACTTCTGAGCAAAACAAACATACTGCCTCGACCTCCATACAAGTTTTACTGTTAACACTAAATCGAACACCGACAAAATATAAAACGTAAAAGTATTACTAAAATTGGCTAGAGCTTATTTTAATTTCATAACTCAAAATGCATTTCGTACCCTGGGAAACGAACTATGCAGTTGACCCAATCAAATTTCGTCACCAAAGAAACCTTTTATAGCCTATAATATAATCAAAGCTTTAAATCAATAAACATTAAATAGCAGAACATTATAGATAAGTAGAAACCAACAAGCAAATTGTACTTTAATCTTATGATAATAAATCCAGTTATGCTAAACTGGTGTAGTGAGTGTTTTTTAAATATTATGCAAGTTCTTTTTTAACGACTAGAGTCGGTGATATACGAGTACTGTTTAGTTCTCGAATGTTAGCTAGGCTTTATTAATGTTCAGCATCTTAAATAGAATTAAAAATAACTTTTTAAAATAAAGATCTAGTAACATGAATTTATATAAGCATAGTAAGTAAAAGTTTATTCGGAAATTAAATCTATTTTCATATTGCTGCACGTATATTTTTACTTCCTTATTCACGTTCAAAACGATATAAATTAAAATTAGTAAGAATATAATAAATATTTATGCTCAATAATTTTTTTAATACTTTTAATAGAATAAATGCGAAGCATGGGAAAAAATTATAAACTTTTATTATTTATATGTATATGTTCTTACGCAAAAACATCGTTCTTCGAGGTCTAATAAAAAATTCACTCAAGGTTTAGTATAAAATCGGTTTGATGATTGATTCCCTCAGTTTTTATAAATTATTCTTTGTAAAGAATAAGAAAAGTAATTTTAAAAACAGTATAATTTATTTCTATTAGTAACTTAACTAAAATGTATGAAATTCATTACCTCAGGGATACTTGTACAGTAAAATAATGCTCTAAATGATGAGAAAGCTTAGATGATCGTTTGCGCTAAGTATCAGATGTGAAATTGCAACGTAAAAAATAAGGTAATTAAGACTGTCGGCATCTACGATGTAAAAAAAAAATAACGAATTACGCTGAGTACTCGTATATCCGCCGTCTAATGACAAGATGAATACTTTGCTATTATTTTGTACCACTGAATAGAGTTTTTTTTAATCTGTATGATTTTTTTATGTTATAATTTATTTATTTAATAAAATACTTTCCTCGAGTGTTCCAAGCAGATACACAAGTTCTTTTTAATTAATTTTTTTCACAATATTTACAATTTGCTCTAAAAGCTGACTCTGTTATCATACCCGAGTTTTTAAAATCATATTATAACTACTTTAAAAGTTCATTTATTGATATATTTAATTATATAAAACGAATGAAATAGTTTTGTCTATTACATTCGTCTGATAAAATGTACTGATCTGACAGAAAATATTTATGTTTTGTGGAATTCAGTTCTGAATGAATTTGAGGTTTTCAAATTCATACAGAACAAATTCAGACTCGGGCGGGTGTTAATTTGCGCATTCTGAGTGATCAACTTTCAAATACTCGCATACTTTAGCTGTCGAGGCTGCGGTCAACTAATCTAACTAACCTCATCGCGGTTGCATAATACATTATTATATTTTATTTTTAAAATAAAAATGCATACACTAGTTTTAAGTGCTTTGTTTAGTATACTTATTCTACTAATTACCAAACTAATGAACACCTAGTTGTTTCACATTGACCTAAAATTTGTACGACATAACAAAAAAATAAAAACTACGAATCCTTATGAAAACCTAAATTGTGGAAACTCATTGTACCAAAAATTTAAAATAAATTTCAATATTTTTCGAAGCGAAGAAAAAAATGAGATAATGAAAAAGAAACCGATAAAATTTTTTATTAAACTGCATTCGATGCAAATAAATTTTCATTAATGTTATACTGCTGCAGTATGATGCAATTACAAGGTTTCAGTTCATTGTCCAACGTTTAATGCACATTTCTCTCTCGTTCTTACATTATTCTACACACTTCGCTGACTGACTCTTATTGAATCGCACGTTATTCTGTTTAAAAAGTACAATTAATTAAATTTTATATGGATTTTTTTTTGTAATTATAATTCTATCTATTCACAGTCAGTATAATTCTCACGCAATACATCAGGTACTTCAATACAACAGGTGAATATTTCAACTTAAAAAATTAATAGAGAAGTCACAATGAAGAAAAAAAAAATGTTTTTAACAATCTTCTATTAGATTTACAATCTATACAAAATTGTGCAATAAGTAAAGAAGAAAAATTGCTTTTCTATTTAGAATTCTTACATGTTAGTAAAAATTTGAAAGCGGGGAATATTATTTTGTCGGAAATAGCCTTGAGAAGTTTTTCTTCGATTAAAACTCTTAAGCTGATCGACCATATGTATGAAATCAACGTTGACACGCAAACATTAAACGACCAGACAGTCCTGTTTCCCAACGGCGCTTGGTAATTGTTATCTCCTATACCCTTTACACCTTTTCTGATTATTTGATTACTGCGAGAAACATTCGATGGGAGTTAACTGAATGGACTTCAAGCGTTTTCCTATGAGAACTTGATGCTCATAAACCGTCGAGTGTACTGTAATTCAGACTTGTCAGTCCTTTTGAGACTTTTGACGTTTGAAAAGTGTTCACGGTAAATTATCGATGGTTTAAACAAAAATGCATACAAGTTAAACGGGATCGAGTTTTATATAGTAAAACATATAGAACTATATTAATATAAATTTTTTAAATTGTCATACTTATTAATTATATTAAAATACCCTAAGTTTTAAAAGGTATTAGTGGTCACACATTTGTAAATAAGTTAATTGTTAAATCAATGCAATATAATATTCCACGCTTTTTTTATTTGAAATCTAAAAGTTATAAGGGTAATTTTTCAGATTATTTGATACTTACCTTTTAAGATTGTAAAAAAAACAATCGATGTTCTTTTACACTTAAAGACTTGTAGATCATGACGTATTGGTTTATGGTAGTAGTCTTACTATCTAATAAATAATAATAATAATAAACAAATTGATAGTAAAATTTTCAATAAAACAAATTATATTTGTGGCTTGATCATTGTATTTTACACTTGATTCCATTTAAAAGAAATTGCCTACTTTATACTTTTTCCTATTGATTTAAACGTATAAATCTTAAAACAAAGGGAATCATTATGCATCTACAAAATACAATGACGCATTAAATTTTAATCGTTGGATTATATTTGTTCTTGCAAAATGTTAATTCGTTTAAAAATATAACATTTGAACTATTTAAATAATTTGTGGTTTACAATAAATTTCCGCACATAAAGCATAGTGACTATTATAAAAAAAAGTGTGTCTGGTGATAATTTTTATTATATTATTATTATACTATTTCGACCTGCAATGCATATCAATACTCGGCAGTTTAGCATCGGACCGGAAACGAATATTTAAAATGTGCACATGAATATAATTAATATACTTAAATGATTGAAATCGCTATTGAAACCTTTTAAACATACAAACATATCAAGTCCATCTGAATTATTAACAATATTTATAATATATGTGAGTAAACGTTGAACGTTTTCCATCGATTTGTTGTAACGGTTGAGTTTAAAAAAAGTCTATACTTAAAAATCGCGAAATTTATGTTTAGTTTACTTTCTACTGTTAGAATAACAGTTTTTAATTTTAATGAAATTATATGAAGGTATTTGTTACAACTAAATACGTTAAAACCCATCATTGAAATAGCTAGATGTCAAATTTATTCTACAAAAAAACACCTATAAATTAATAATTAATAATTAGTCTGTGGAAAGTATGCAGTTACACCTATAAACTTGTTTTATAATAATAGCTACCGTATTAAATTTATAGAAATGAATTTTTTATATTTGAATTCGAGAACCGTGTAAGTAAATCAGTTGGAAATGAAATCCCCTTGAGCTTTTTTGCAGCAATCTATTGAAAGAAATTTATTTAACGAATATACAAACATTTTTTAATGGGCAAACTTATTTTACTCGTCAAAATCAATATCTACTCTCAAATTAGGTTAATTGTGCTGCGTAAGGAAATGATTTTATTGTCAACAAACGACTTCCGATATATTGTTCATCTATATTAATAGTATTTTCCAGTAGTGTTTGTAATTTTTTTCCCGATATCAGTACTTTATGGAAACGTTTTTAAAGGCCATTAAATGTCGCCTGTTTGATTTATGACTGTAAACTTTAGACAATATCTACATTAGGACAATAGTGCATAACTATGTGTATACGACTAAGTGTTGTAGCGCCAGTGTTTATACAACTGAGTTGTGTGCAACATTTGAACGCCGATGATAAATTACTATAATATTGAGCTTTAATGTTTTTTTCGGAATAGTTTCTTTTTAGCAACGATCACGATGACTTAAGAATTGAACAAAAAATAACCCGTTTAACTTGTAGTAATTTATCTATAGTGTACTAATCTAGAATTAATTACTGAAGTATTAAAGGGGTAGGGGTCAGTTAAATTGTAAAAGTAAATTTATAGTTTAAAACGGTAGGAAACTGTGTACAGAATGTCTCTGAATTTAATGTAATTCTTTATAAAATGGTACTCAACAAGATACACTGGCAACGATTTTTTCAATTTTTTTTCCTTAGTCCAAAATTACAGTTTTTAAAAGTTTTCAATTTAAGGTTTTATTAAAATCAAAAATAATTTTAAAATAATTTTTCCTAATGAAATTCATAAAAATTGAAGTGTCTCTAAATTTTATTTTGCTGAATACTTAATAAGTAAATAAGAAAAAAAGCTAATATTGTACATAACTTTTAAAAATGAATTTTTTAACTCGTTTTCAAATGTTACCTAATCTAAGTTGAAAACCCATACATCTTTTAAAAATACATAATACATATATGTAACTTATTTTAAATAATAATTAAGTATTGTTTATTATACTTACAGTCAGTTAGTAACGGTCATCGTAAAAATGCATAATATTTTTGTATAAAAATAGTACATATAAAATCTCTTTTAATAAACGTTAACGTTATTTTTCTACGACTATTTGAAATTTGGGTGTATAAAAACTATTGTTTTAGAAATATGTTTAAAGTATTTACATTGCATTATAACACATTTTTTTAGTTTCAGTGTAGAAATTAAATATTAGTATCTCTTAACGTTTATTTGTGCACACTTCATAACAAACGTAGAACAAAGGAGATAATAAATTCAATTATAGTGCAACAAAATTAATAATAATCAGAATTTTGAATTTTAAGTTATAAAATATGTTGTCGTAATTGTTTAAGAGGTTACTGAGTTCAAACTATAAAAAAAAATGTTTGCATACCTCCAGTTGAAGAAGGCCCAAAGGTGATTTTTTCTTTATATTATACATCCTTAGTGTTATAAATCTATCTATTTAATTAGTATTTTGAAAAATAATACTTGTTAAATAACATAAATAATCAACAAATTTACTATTTTTAATAATAAGGATTAACGTTGTTTTGTTCCTTTTGAGTTTCAATAAAAATATTTTTTTTTGTATTTCTATGTTTATATCATTTACGACTAGCAACTAGTCGTAAATTTGGTAATTCAAATTTTTTTGCGACAGTAAATTATTTTTATAGTTCTTTATAAACGCGTAGTGTTTTTTTACTGGATTCCCATTTTCGTGATAACAATAATGAAAAATTTTAATTTTAAAGTTTTAATTTTTTTGTGTACGTATCTGACCATGAATTCCCATTATAGTTTTGTTTTAAAATATTGAAAATAAAATCTCTATTTAGTTGTAAACTCATTTCAGTTATAAGAATACACTTTTCTCTCAATTTATCAAATATTTCCATGTAAAAATAATGAAAGTTTTGAAATTCATTACTTGGACCCATTATGGAAAATAAATAATTATCGGGCCATAGAATTAATACATGGAAAATTCAATAGCCTATACTGTAATATTTAATTTGATTTTAATCGTCAAATTTAGTAAAAAAAAAATATGGTACCTATTAAATTCAATTAAAATCATGAATTTTGCAGGAGTAAATTACTTAAAATACTTAACCTGCAACATTATAAATTTCTTTATTGATTTAATTCGTTTTAAATAAATGCTGTAAAAATAAATTATAATCGATGGTTGCACACCACAATTAAATCAAATACAATGTTATAACAAAGTAAGTGTATGATAACTGATAATTTGTACAATATTTATCGCGTAAATTTATTATTATAGATCGTATAAATACGATAACACAAACGACTTGGGATAATAAGGCACACATCAATAAAATACCGGTTCAATGACATGTAATGAGCTTGAATTTACTATGATGTATATCATTTTACATAATTTGTAAATTTGAATATTGGTGGACTACATTTGATTTCAATATTGTGTATTACCGACATATTAATGAAATATTCCAAAATATACCAAATGGGCTAAATATTCTCTTACCCATAAAATATTTTCAAATATACAAAAAATACTTTCTCCTGTAAATTTATTGTTTAATGAATCGTCCACATTTTTTACTATCATAACACTCCGTTCACTAAGCAACGATATGTAAAAGTATAAAAATCCGAACTCCTAATTATTATATATGTATTTATTAGATTTCAACTTGATGACTTGAAGAAAAATTTTACTGAATTATTTTGATGCCTAGAAGGTCAGTAAATAATAGCTATGACAATTTTGGATTTCTTAAAAAAATGCCATAAAACATCGCAAAACATCTTTATAATTATTGCATCAGCTACTTTTTTATCCTATAAATTGCACCGTTAGCTATAAAGTATGAAGACAAAATCACATAAAGAAATAAATGACCGCTGAATTACGGTAATGTCATGAACCGCACAATCCGTACCGAATATTTTTTCTTAAATGTACCATAATGTGAGAAATTTTTCATCATATCTGATCTCTTACATATGATGACTGTTAAGTCATTCAAAAGTGACTTCTTTCTGCGCATTATTGATCATCAATGCCTCAATTTGAAATTTAAATACGTCTAGACACTGGAAAGTAAACAATTTGTTTTTCCTATTACATTATGAAATACAATTTCTTTTAGCTACTTATGGACACTTAAACACAAACTCAAAATTACACTTTTCTACCTTTTAAATGTATTATAATCAAGTTTATTATGTTTAACATATAAAACTAATGAGTGAATAAAATTAACTTTTATTCCACCGACTAGAAGTACTCAAAATAGTCATTGTGCTGAATTTTTTTAGGTTGTGTCACATTTTCTACATAGGCGATTTGTATCTTTAAGAATGAATACTGCTATAGTATATTAATGAGTGTCAAAAGATTTAACTATCAAAGACTTCTATATATTTTTCATTTAAACCACAAATAACAATGCATGGACTTATCAAGGAAATTATTTAATATTTTAAATTTTGTGTATGAATAATATCGGATTATTAATTTATTTATCATAATGAAGTTGAGTTAATTAATCTGTTTACTTACATGATAATTTATAGTTTTCTTGTTTTAATTTTCTTGGATTTTTTTGTCTAAAATAATTTATTTAATAATTCGTAAACTTAATTTTCAGTTTTTTCTGAATGATAATTTCATTATAAATTTAGTCATATAAAATGAGTTACGCATTTCATATAAACTTCTTTCAATTTTGTTTTAGATAATAATAAATTTAGAAGTTAAAAATATTTAATATCAAGTTATTAATTGAAATTAATGCATCGTCAAATAAACAAATGACCTTTAGGTTCAATTCTTGATTCACAATTTTCGATAGCTTTAATTTAAATTATGTATTTTTTTTTGCGTCTAGACATTTTATAATTTCTTAGACTTATCAAATTTGTGCCTTTAACCCGTTATGATTATCATGTATAAAATTGCAAAAAAAGCTTAAAAAGGTGAGGATTGTTATAAAAATTATGATTACACTATAAAAAAGATGTTATTTTTAAATGTTTTCATCATTTTGACTGACATCTTTTTATTCAACAAAAAAATTTATGAATTTGTCTATGGTAACAGTTAACCTTGTAAGTATTTATCTTTTTAATTAACTTTTTATTTATATTCATAGTGAATATAAATAACATTGAAATAAACTTAAACGTGTCAGACTTACATGAAAAAAATTTGTTCCAAGGTCAACATTTAAATAC